ATTATTTCGTCCATGACAGTTGTGCTTTATATGCTCTTCGAGCAGATCCTTTCTTGAAAATGGAGCAATCATACAGTGGCGGCAGAAATATTTTTGTTCCTTATGCTTATTCTAACTACTCATAATTCGACTCCACCTACTTTCACCATTGATAAGACAATAGTGCGTATTTAATCCTGAAGGGATTTCATTGATATTACGACGATCTCTCAAATCTTTCTCTTCTTTGGTAAATAAAATTAAATCTACCATATGTTCTTTTTGATAGTTGTATTCTGATATGCGGAGAGGATCCAGGTTTCTGGTTAATTGCTCTTTGTCATTTTTTTTTGACGCTGAATAAAATACATTTACTGCATAATTTGGATTTTTTTCTTCAAATAAGTCTATATCTCATAATATGGCTGGAAAATTTATTCTGGTAAAATCTAGTATATTGTCAAAGCGCCTTAATCTACTAACATCATGAAGATTTCTCACTCTAGTTCCCTGTCTACAAGCTTCTTCGCTGGCTAAATAAGCTTTCATACATACTTCAAAACATCTATTATCTTTATTTTGTGGATTAATTATTCCTAGCTGAGGCTTGGCCCATATTTTTGGTAAAGCAAAATGTGATCTACCTCGGATTAGTTAATAAGCGCTTATTTCAAGAAATATTTTTTTTCCATATTCAAAAATCCAACCCGAATATTGACTACGTTCCATTTCATCGATTTTATCTAAGATTTCATGGTATTGTCGTGAAACTGTTTGGTCTATTCTATCCTGACGAATAATATCCAAGATTTCACTTGGAAATGCTATATCTTGATCAGTTCGATGTCCGAAACGTCCTGTTTGTACAATCCAATACATATGAGCGATAAGGACTATTTTTATTTTAATGCCACCTAAGCGTGCTAATTCCCTTTTATAAACATCGCTAATTTACTCTTCAATATCCTCGAATGTGGCTAAAGGATCTTCTCAATATGGATATGTTTCTGGGATAATAGCGAGATAATCGATACATAAGCTTTGATCAGAAATTCTTCTAGTTTCTACTACTCTTTTTGGAGCTGGATCTTCTATTCTTCTAAATATCTCCCATATGTATAATTTATTAAGCGTTATGAAATGGAGATTCTTTAAATCTGGAACCGATTTTTATCAGGTAATTTATTCTAATTCTTCAGTGCTTCCAAATTTAAATTCTTCTCGATAAATAATGTATAGTTTTGGAAACATTGTTCTAATTTAAATAAAAAGCAAAAAAAAAAAAAAAAAAATCGTTTATATTTCTACAATGTGACACAATAAACCTGTTAAACCGTCAAATTCGCTAAGTTGTTGATCGAAACTTTCGAGATAAATGAAACCCATCAAAACTCATTGAAACTGTGAAATAATTTCTGAAAAGTTTCGACTTTTGCATAATGGGTTTAGGGTTTTTGCCCTGCAACTATATTTTATACATTGAAAAGTGAAGGTTTCAGGGGTAAAGCTTCTGCGATAAATATCACAAAAAAAAAAATGCATTGTAATTCTAATAGTTTTTCCAACTTTTCGAGATTAAATTAGTATTATTTGCGAAAAAAGTGAGAAGAAAATTGTGTATAGTCAATTGTAGTAAATATGAGATGGATTGTGCAATATATTTAGCAAAACTAGCTTTTCTTGGTATTTAATCAGATCGTGTATTAAATTTCGATGATTTACTATTCGATAGTTGAGCGATAACAAATTTAGACTTAAATTTTGATGTAATGTTCCAGATGAGCCATAGTGTGTTTTTACGTGGTACAAGAATTTTTACGGAAGGCTTGTGGAAAATTTTTCACAATGTAAAGTTATTGAATACTATTCTGAAGTCAAAGAAAAATTTGTATTTTATTAATCTCACTTTTACTTAAAAGCTTCGTTTTCGAAAAGTAAGTTTTTGTCTTCCTTATCTTCCTACAAAATTTTAATAAACGTAATAATAAATAAATAAAAAAAAAGAGTCATTCATTTCTGGCGTTATCATATATTTGGGTTATTATATAGCTAAACTTATTATTTTTTTTTAAAAAAAAGACTGAAAAAAGAAAAAAGGTGAAAAGAACTTTATTATTGTTGCATAATCGAGCCATTACATTAAGTTACTTATTATTATGTTGCGTTTGCTAAGCAAATAATACATATAAGTGAAGTAATGTTATCTGTTTCTTACTCGAATAACCCCTCATGTCTAAGAATTTCTCGATAATTTTGCCAAAGAAATTTTATAGCCATTTCAGCTGATAAAGGTGTATCAACTATATTAACTTTCATCAGTTCCATTGCGTACTCTCTTAATGGTTCATTTATTTGAAGTTCCACATGAGCCGTCCTGATTAAATAACCTATGGACCACATATCAACGTTTGTATCGTGGAAATCTTTAAAAACCTCCGGAGAATGATTTGATTTATCTAAGTGTCGAACGCCAGGCGCAGGATAATTGGCTGCATCTTCGAAATCGATGATAAACCACATGTTACGATCAATATATTTTAATACATTTTCCCATCGGATATCCCGATGAATATATCCTATTTCATGAAGAATCTGGAAATGGGATGTTTATGTTTAATTCAAAAAAAATCAAACAATTATATAAACGAAGAAATATAAATACCTTTAGAGCTGATAAAACACAATATAAAGCAATTACCAGTTGCTTCACCGAATTTGGTCTGTGTATCATGCCCTTTGGTGAAAAAATAATATTTGGCACCTTTCCATTATCCCCCTTGTTAATGCTAACTATGTAATCAACGTAAGGAACTTGTCTCTGATCCATCTCACGGTAAATTTTCTCAAGTTTCTCAGGAAAATCCGCCTTTCTAGAGTAGCGTTTCACCACCACATTTTGCATTAGTTCAATAGTCTTTCCAGAATTTGGTCTATGAATTATATAAAATTCTTTGTGGAAAGAATCGCCAAGGCCTTTACGAATAAGAGGTAATAATCGACCAATGTTTCTTCCGATTACGAAAGCATTTATACGCCCAAGTAATGTTTTAAGATTGTAATTGACTAAATCTTTCCGATATACCCGATCACCTTCATTATGTAAATAACAGTAAGTCACATCGAAGCCACGAGCATAGTAACCGAATATGTAGGGGCTAGGTCCGTACGTCCATATTAACTTTGATGTCAATTCTTCTGCTGGATCGTTATCAGTGTTTGGACCTTTTTCTTCTCCTCTTACGAGGCAGGCACCATCCAACGTATATGAAAAGTCAGGACGAAACTTTTTTGTAGATGTGTTAGAAGACGAATTTCGATTATATTTTCCGTTAGGGCATGCAAGTTTAATAGGTTTTATGATGAGTGCATCCCAAAGTGAATGAAAAGAATCTTCGGTATTGCCAGTTGTTGGTGGATTAATTATACTGACGATATCGCTCATCACTCGAAAGGAGAACTCATCTGAACTTCTAAACAATTTATTCGAATCTCGCTCGGAAAGGCTTGATCGAATGTAAATTTCGTGTACCATCTTGGGAACTAAAATCTGTTTTGAAAACGGCTCTTGAAGCCAGTCTAGCAATTCAAAACGGTTTGGGATTTGTTCTGGCTTTTCCTCAAACATTTCAAGAGTCGAAAAATATAACAAATTCTCTGTTGGAAACAAGATAATAAGATTAGAGGTATGAATTGAATATATCTTTTATGCAAATTACTTTTTAACCTACCAACAGTGCGCTTGGTTTCAAATTCTGCGACGGGATCTATATATAAAGCAAGTATTAGTAATAATAAAAAGTTAAAGAATATAAATAAAAGGTTTAGTCGTAGCACCACAAACAGTGTATAATATTATAACGGCAGATATTTTAACATACCAGCAGTTATATTCTTCAAGAATTCTTTTAAAAGACACAATCTATCTTCATCTGCCTTGCGGGAACTTGTGAGTGCAGAATACAATGCTGTTCTCTCCTCCCTACGCGTAATAATATAAGCTTGAAGCTTATTCGATTCTTCTCGTGGGAGTCCAAGACTATCAATAATTTCGAAAATGTTTGACATGATGTTTATTGTAGATTTATTAGTTTGAAAAATGGAATCGATTGTCTTGAGACTTTTATATTAGACTAATCGACTATATATATGTTTCGGAATAAACTTTTATTAAACTTCATTAATTATTTGAACGCGTTGTTTTTTTGTTGATTGTTAGTTGAGAACGCGTTTTGTAAGTCCGATTTATAAAATACATTCATTAATCTAATCATCTAACCATACCTAACATCATTAAAAAATCGAGTCATAAATACATATAATTTTTTCCGATGCCATACTTTATTAATAATTTAGAAAATGTTAGAGAAGCGAATGAAATGTATGATGTTATCAAAGAGGGAGGGAGTACGCGGATCCTAGGCCATTTAATGCGAGTCCCAGCATCAAGTTATTTCTTCGTTCTCTGAATAATTTCTATAACTAATTTGTTTCTATCATAATATTGCTATCTATAAGTTTCTTACATTCTTATAATCTATCCCAATTATACATACAATATCTTCGCCTATCTATATCACTCTTTTCTCCCACACTCACATAAAATTGATACTAATACTATATTTTAAAATTATTAAAATTTTTAAACATAAATGACAAATTATAGTATAATGGTTATTATTATATTCACCTTCATTACCGAAGGATAATTCTACATTATTGGTTAATTATTTATAGAATTTGAATTTATTGTATTTACCTTCATCAATTGAAACTGATTCTATATTCGAATTTACTTTTTGCAAACAAAAATGAGTATAATTAACGAATTAAAATGTGGTTAATATATTACCTTCTAATAAGAAAGTTTTTTTAGCATCCAATACTGGCTCTAATATAAATTCATCTTAGAATATCATCTTAGACATTATTATAATTAATATTAAACAAAAATTTTGAGGTATAGCACTTTAAATTAATAAAAATAATCAATAGTGATAATTTGAATTGGAAAATTTTTATTTTAATTAGATACAAAATAATTTTTTGGTTATTTCAAATTTTTTTAAAATTAATTAACATCACATTATAAAAATAAAAATTACAAAGCACATTTTTTGGCATAGAGATTTTATTGAATTATATTATGATGATCATTTATTATCTTTCTTGAAATTTGATTTAAAATATAAGTCTTTAAATTATTAATATTTTATGCATTGTAATGCAGTTCTCAACTAATTGTATCTTTAGTTATACAAATAATTATGAGTGATTTTCTTAAGATAAAGAATAATTTATGAATTATAATCTGTACAGATAATACAAATATCTAGATAAATGAATTATTTTTATGTATTACAAATATATACAAATATCTATAAATTATTAGTGAATAATCCATTAAAATAATAAATTTTTTTAAAAAAAATTTCTTAAGTTCAAATGAATGCAAAATCAATTGTTAAATACAAAGAATGTAATGGTAAAAAATATATATTTTTAAAAAATCTTATTTTATTTACCATCTATCAGATACACTTTTTATATAGTTTTATATCACATAAATTATTAAAATTGCATAAATAATATAAATAATAAAATCACATTATTTGCAAAAAAATCTATTTATAGTATTACAATATGTTATTACAATATTTTATTACATTATAATATATTATTATAGTATTAGGTTTTAATATTAAATATTTATAATAAATTGTTGAGATCTTTTTTCAAATTAATATAATTAAGTTATAAGTTTATTGTTATATTAAAAGATCAAATTATTATATTATATAACTGCTATATTAATAAATTATGTTAATAAATGATATTTATATTATAAATAAATATACATAATATGATGAAACTATGATCCATGACTGTGCTAAAAATAAATTATTTGATCTAAATGATCGACATAATTGATGAAGTTGACAAAATTGCTAAAGTTAACAATGTTGATCAAGTGGATAAATTAGATAAATGAATTATAGTTATTATCTTTATTAATTATATCTTATTTATTATATATATTATA